ATCCATCCATCCATCATCCATACATCCATCATCCATCCATCCATCATCCATGCAATTCATGCATGCATCCATCCTCCATCCATCCATCTTACATTAATCCATCCATCCATCCATGCATCCATTCATCATCCATGCATCCATCCATCATCCATCCATCCACCATCCATGCATCCATCATCCATCCATCCATCATCCATCCATCCATCCATCCATCCCAATATATTGAAAGTGGATGGCTCTCAGGAATTTTCATTGTGCCTTTCATGCTTTGTGGTGTTTTCTACCTATTAAGAGGCCATAACTTAAAAGTAACTTTAAGAGTTCCTCAGGTACTTTTTGCAGCTAGGTATTCTTAAACCATATCAGTTTTCCTTGCAGGACAGAAAATGATCCCACTGACTGTCAAATACTGTGGTTAGTCCTGAGCCTGTCTGGCAAACAAACATGAATGAAGGTCTTTTGTTTTTCTGCCATGGTCTGTGCATATAGCTCAGTATTATGTTTGGCTTGGGTGTACTCTGATGTGATCTTGCAGAGATTTTATAAGATTTTAAAAATAACGTGTCTCTCACTCCACATTCCATTTTATATGAATGTGTCTTCTTTTTTAGGCTACCAATTTTATCCTCAATGTCTGATATTTAGTAGGAGCTCAATAAATACCTTTATTTTTATTTTTTATTTTTTTCCCCCTAAACAGGGTTTCTTTGTGTAGCCTTGGCTGTCCTGGACTCGCTTTGTAGACCAGGCTGGCCTTGAACTCACAGAGATACTACTGCTTCTGCCTCCCAGAAGGCTGGGATTATAGGCGTGCGCCACCACGCCCAGCTTCAACAAATAATTATAGAAAATATAATTTTGTAGTATTTGTTCTAAGCGAATTTTAGTAGATACAATTTAGTAGATACAATTTAGGCCAGGTGACATTTGTCTCATGTTTTTTGAGGAGATGAAAATTGTTCAAATAACGTATGCTTGTGTCTATGATGATTTGGATGAGGTTTTTTTTGCGCGTAATTTGGCAGTCTGTGGAGACCCTTTAGAAAAAAACTTATTGAACATCCACTCTATGTCAGATGTAGGCTTAGGGGGAAAATGACTTCTGCCTGCTTTGGTGAATTTGGGGTCGATCTCCTAAATGAAAGAATTATAGAGAGGGAAAATTGTTGGTGACAAGTTCCCCCCAGTGGCAGGGTCGGTGCTCTTTCCTTTTAATTCCGGAACTATTTCTTCTTACCCCTCTGCATTTTCTCCCCGGACACTTTTGATCAATGAACACTTCCTGAGTCTCCCGGCAACTTGGCGCGCTCTTCCGGCCGGAGCTCAACCCTGGGCTTGCTCGCGCTCGTGCGGTTCTCTCGTGGCCTCGCAGGCGTTTCCGGGTCTCATGGCCGGTCTGACTCTCTTTGTGGGCCGTCTCCCGCCCTCGGCTCGCAGTGAGCAGCTGGAAGAGCTGTTCAGTCAGGTGGGTCCGGTGAAGCAGTGCTTCGTGGTGACTGAGAAAGGTAAGCAGCGGAATGGTGGAGAGGGCTGCGTGCTCCTGGGAGCCGACCAGGTCGAATTTCAGGGAGCTGTCCGGTCCCTGTTTGTTTTGAGACGCGGCTCTCACGTTGTAGCCCACACTGGCCTCGAATTCTCTACCGGCACTTAGCCTCCACTTAGCCTCTTGAATCGTGTGATTAATAACGGGAGCCATAGGCTGTTACCATCCAGTCCCTTGCCTTCTCCAAAGATACCGGACCGGGAACTAAGTTTCCTTTCTAAACGGACTCTGCTGTAGGTTGGCCAGTAAGGTTGATTTATGAAAGGCAGGACACCCACTGTACATTTCTGTTGCGTTTTCCTCTTCATTGCGCGTGGTCAAAAGTTCAAAGGCTAATCTACTAGCCTGCCGTAATGGCTGTAATTCCAGCGTTAGGGAAGGTCGTGGCAGGACGATTGCTTGGAATTCGAGGACAGCCTGGTCTATATGCTAGCAGGTTCAGGCCAGCTCGGATTACGTAGCAAGACCCTGTCTCAAACAAACAACCCAAACTAACGTTCAATAAAGTATCAGTATAGCCGAGTGAGAGGCAGACGATTAACTAGGCCGGGAGGTCGTTTAATTTGACATAGGCGAACTTAATGTTTTCAACAAATTTATAGGGCAGAGAGTCTTAATCTCATTTTTTTAAATAGAGGAATAGAAGTTTTAAGGACATTTAATTATTTGAAGTTTGTGTAACAAGTAAGAGGACTCAGTTGATTAGTGCATGCCAAGCTCTTAGTATGCTGTTCATTCATTTATTTGACAAATATTTCTTGAACGCCAGCTGTGTTTCAGCACGTCGTTGGCTGTCCTTGGGGTACAACAAGTGTGTGACATCGAAGCAGATGTTCTGTCATTACCTGTTGAAAGACAGCCAGTAAACGACCAAACTACATGTTGATAATGGTGATGAATGCTAAGGAGAAAAATAAGTCGGAAAGGACGTAGGGAGGTGTGTGTGTGTGTGTGTGTGTGTGTGTGTGTGTGTGTATGTATGTATGTAGAGTGACAGGGATGATGACCTGTTTGAAGAGAGAGAGTGAACTTACAATTCCTAAGGAACAGAACAGTGCGAATTCAGGAGGCAGCACCTTTTATTAAAGCAGGTGTGTCCTTGTTGTATGAGAAGAGAGCAGGCTGACAAAGAAAGTGAATAAAGACAAGAGAATTAGAAAATGAGGACATGAGTACCAGGTCAGATAGGACTGTGCTGACTATTTCAAACTTTTATTCTGCTGTGGGGAAGTCATTGATAAGCAGAGAGCAGTGGCTGATCTTTTAGACTTTGACAGTCTTTCTGGCTGTTGTGTGGTGAATAGACTTTTAGAGAATAGAAGAGAAGGAACCAGTTGGTAGGCTCTAGGAGTAACTGGGAGAGAGATTGTGGTGTTGGACAAAGACAATAGCAATGGAAGTGGGGAAAGTTGTTTTGTATTGGACATTGTTAAGGTAAAACAGGATTTGCTGAAGCATTCGTTATGGAGCATAGTCAGAGAGGAGTACTGGGTCAGGTCTGACTCAAGGATCTTGCCTTGAGTCACTGGAAAGGTGCTGGCTTGCTACATGCATCACATTCTGTCTGGCGTGCGTTGGATTGTCTCGCATGGAGAGTTGGCATGTATTAGAGTGTGAAAGGATTTTAGTGATTTTTCATGTGGAAAGTATTCTTTCTCGACAGGATTTCCCAGGGAAACCTCGAGAGAGCCTTGTTACCCAGAACATGCATTTAGCCGCCTCCTATCTCAGCAGGCATTTGTCTAGGTAGCTCTCTCAGCCTCTCAACAGAGCAGCTGGGGAGCACTGGCATCAGGGAGACCCCATTTCCCCTCCATGATTTCTGAGTACATGACTAGGGAGCCTGATTTGTGCGTTAGCTTCAATTTCTTGGTAACAGTTGTTAACCTGGTTCTGATGCTCTGACGTAAAAGCCATGGCATCTAATTCTTTGTCATTTTAAGTATAGCTAGAGCCAAAGGAGCAAGTGAGAGTGTTGTACATTAATGTACCTTTAAAAGAAGAAAATGAGGCAGCCGGTTGAGGTGGCACACATCTGTAAGCCCAGCACTTGGAGGCAGACACAGGCAGACTGTGTGTTCGAAAGAGTTCGAGGCTAACCTGGTCTACAAAGTGAGTCCAGGGCAGCCAAAGCTACAGAGAAACCCTGTCTCGGGTAGGGGTGGGGAGGAGCTAGATTTCTTATTTGTTCATGTCTTGCGTTTATAAAGTTCCCTACAATAAAATCTTGGCCTGAGATTTTTTTTGCCATAGTCCTTAACCATTGTAACCAACCACTTTACTGATTTCCCTTAAATCAACTTTACAAAAGCCTACCCATTCCCTCAGTTTCTTTTTGTCATTAACCTTAATTAGGTTGATGAGCTAATGCTCAGTGCAGAAGGCCTCTAACAACCTGACATACATAGGCTAATCACAACTGTATATAGGTACTCAAAGATGTTCAGCTTGGGACATATAGCAAGACTCTGCCTTAAGAAAAAAATAATAATAAATAAATAAAAGGAAAACAAAACTCTCACAAGTACTTATCCTTTACCATGTATGGATTTACTTTTTTTTTTTTTTCTGTTGTTTTTTGTGGTATTTTGGAGCTGGGACTTCTGTGTAGCTCTGGCTGTCCTGGACTCTTTGTAGACCAGGCTGGAGATCCGCCTGCCTCTGCCTCCTGAGTGCTGGGATTACAGGCGTGTGCCACCACACCCAGCTGCACTTTTTTTTTTCTTTAATTGTTAGTTTTTAAAATTCTAGTCGTTCACTACTTGGTAATGTGCAGTTTAAGAAACATTCATCAGGGCTGGAGAGATGGCTCAGCAGCGAAGAGCCCTGGATACTCTTCCAGAGGACCTGAGTTCAAATTCCCACATGGCAGCTCACAACTGTCCATAACTTCAGTTGCAGAGGATCTGACACCATCACATAGAATACATGGAGGCAACACCCCAATGCCCACAAAATAAATAAAATAAAATAAAATAAAATAAAATAAAATAAAATAAAAACATTCATGTTGAGGGTTGGCAGGATGGGTTTAGCTGGTAAAAGCACCTGCTCTCAAGCCTAACAGTTTGAGTCTGATCCCCAGGACCCACCTGAGGGACGGAAAGAAGCAGCCCCTGCTGGGCTGTTCCCTTAGTTCACACTTAGTTCACATAAGAATGTCTCCACACTAATGCGATGCCAGGAGTGGTGGGTGTGACTGTAATCCCAGCACTTGGTAGGTGGAGGCAGGCGGATCAGAAGATTGAGATCAATTGGGTTATATAAGACCCTGTTTCAAAAAAAAGAAAAGGAAAAACAAAACAAGAAAGAAACATTTTTTTTTTTTTTTCTGCTGCCATTGCTGAGTTCTGGGGAGGAAGAGTTCAAGTGCATTCACCCTTCCCACACCACCCAGGAAGCATTGCTGCTGGAGGTGCACAGGTGGTGCCAAAGACCACTCTCTTCCACCATGGCCTGACACGTTGAATTAGGGAAGTTGCCAAAGCTTTAGACAAGTGCCAAACCCACATCTGTGGAATATGAGCTTTGTGTGCCCTTACTTGATGATATAATGTTAATAATACCCAGAGGTTTCTAAAATAGTGTTTATTTTTGAGGTTCTTTTTTGAGGGCCTTACTCATTGCTGGTATTTTCTAAGAAAAGACTCCATTTTTATAATCTGATATTTCAAATCTATCATATGTATTTTTTCCTGCCCTTTTTGGTGATCTTTCATTATTTGATGTTCATTTCTTCTTTGAAGGCTGAATGTATATCATGGGTTCTTCATATTAAGATTATCAGGGCTGGGATAAGAAGAGGCAATAACAGCAAGGCATCAACTTGGAAACGAGAACAGTCCCGAGTAAAGTGGGGAAGGAACTAATGACCCCAGCCTTGGCTCTTTTCCTTTTGAGACTTGTATCTTTGATGGATCGCTCACAGGGTGGTCTGGGAGAAAACCTGCTGGCTTAGGCTTTGAAGGCTTTGGTTCAGCCCTCTTAGGATTCTGTGTCCTTTTAATCCCATTCGCTTCCTTCCTGCCTTCTTCTAGGGAGTAAGGTGTGCCGAGGCTTTGGCTATGTTACATTCTCCATGCTGGAAGATGTTCAGAGGGCTGTCAAGGAGATCACTACCTTTGAAGGTTGCAAGATCAACGTGACTGTTGCCAAGAAAAAACTGAAGAACAAGTCCAAAGAAAAGAGGAAAAATGGTGAGTTTCTAGTAATTCTCCAGGGTTAAAGAAGACACTGAAATTGAGAGAAGGTGGGAGAGCTGGGAGATAGTTTCCAGAACTTGAGTTCCCAGTTTTCTTTTTGTTTTCGAAACTCCTCTGGTATGCGTTAAGTCATTCGCTTCACCTCTACCTGGGAAATCTGGTATTTCTGGATATTGCATGCTTGACCTCAAGGCAAATAATGTCCACTTATGTCTAGCTTAGAAGTGGGTTTGCAGACTTAACCCATGTGTTTCACTTTTTAGAAAATTCAGAGTCTCCAAAGAAGGAACCAAAGCCCAAAAAAGCCAAAGTGGCAGATAAGAAAGCCAGATTAATTATCCGGAACCTCAGCTTCAAGGTAAGTGGCGCAACTAAGCGCATGTTGCGGAGGGTGCTGGAGCCACGGCATGCTTGTTGGTAGAGCTCCTCACCAAGATGGTGTTTAGTACTGAGCCAAATTCTTCTGGGAAACAAACCTTAGCCTGTTGAACTGAAAAAAATAAAAAATAAAAAATGGACCTGTTTGTTAAGGGGCAAGCAAGATGGCTCAGTGGGTAAAGGTTCTTGCTGCCAAGCCTTATGACCTGAGGTTTGATCCCTGGGTCCAGCATGGTAGAAGGATACCAGCTGCTGCAGGTTGTCCTCTGATTTCCACACACATTGTCCTCCCCCTAATAAAATAAAAAACATACTGTTAAAGGACTTACTGAATATGTGAAGCGTGAAGATGCTTTCTTTTGGAGGAAGCTACTGCTGAGAAAAAGATCTGTGTGTTCAGCTTCTCTCTTTTTGAGTAAGAAAGAATTTCTTGTAGCTCATGTACACCTCAAACTTTCTAGCCTAGGCTAGACTTTTTGTTTGTTCATTTGTGGGTTTTGTTTGTTTGTTTGAGACTCTGGCTATCCTGGAACTCACAGAGATCCTCCTGCCTCTGTCTTCTGAGTGCCACCACACCTGGCTGAGGCTAGCCTTTTAACTTCTGATCCACCCGATTCCATCTCTTGAGCTCTGAGATTATAGGTATGGGATGCAGTGTCTGGCTGTTTTTCCTTTTTTCTTTTTGGCTTCTTAGATACAAAGTAAGTGATTTGCTGTTCTAATCTTGAAAGTGAAAAGGGAGGGGGAATAAAAATATTCAGACTCTATTCCAGAAAATGAACTTAGTCTCGATGTTCTCCATTTTTTGCTGTGATAATGTCTTTGGTTTTCCTTTTTTCCGTTTGGCTTTAGTGTTCAGAAGCTGACTTGAAAGCAGTATTTGCTCACTTTGGAACTGTTCTGGAAGTGAATATCCCAAGGAAGCCAGGTACTTGCGCACCTTTGTTTGAAGATGATTTTTTTTGTTGTTGGTGGTGTGTTTTGTTTTGTTTTAAGACAGGGTTTCTCTGTGTTTGTTGTCCTGGAACTAACTTTGTAGAGTAGGCTGGCCTCAGACTCACAGAGAGCCTACTGTCTCTGCCTCTTGAGTGCTAGCTGAATACTGAATGTTGGCTATCCCCTGCTGTCTCTGACATTTTCGTACATTTGTTGACAGATGGAAAGATGCGTGGTTTTGCTTTTGTTCAGTTCAAAAACCTCCTTGAAGCAGGAAAAGCGCTCAAAGGCATGAATATGAAAGAGATAAAAGGTATGTCTTCTATAGTCATACCATGACCTAGTTGTTTGTTATTTCTGTACTTGAGTGAATAAGTGCCTTTTTATATATATATATATATATATATATATATATATATATTCAAAAGATGTTTTTTACGCTTAGGATCTTATTGTTAAAATGGGAGCTCGTGTAGCCCAGGGTAGTCTTGAGTTCCCTAAATAGCAGAGGATGGCCTTGAACACCTGATCTTTTGGCCTCCACCTCTGAGGACTGGGATTGTAAGCATGCACCAGCACTGCAGTATTTGGTGACATTTTCTAGTATTTAATCTTAAACCAACCTTGGAGCCGTTCCTTCCCTTGGCATGTTTTCCGGAGGTCTCCCTGGCTGTCCTGGACAGAGCTGCCGGTGAGTGCATGTTAGCGCCCTTCCTCTCTCCGTGGCCGTCATTCATCCGCATCCATGCATGGTCAGGAGCTGATGGAAAGGGGCAGCTCTAACCTCTGAACAGGATTTCCATTCTTCCAGAATGTCTGTAAACTAGAAACACATTTAATATTCTTTATTTATCTTGTATTACCCAAGGTGGCTGTGTAAAAAAGCAGGATTTCTGTTAAAGGGTTAAGGATTAAAAAGAGCTGCTGGGAGCATTTTTAGTTTAGTTTTTGTTTTGTAACAGTATCTTACAAGGTAGTCCAGACTGATCTGGAACTCAAGATTTTCCTCCCTCTCTATCTTTAGGAACCAGTAGTGGGCTGGATAGCCAGCTCAGCAATTAAAGGCTAAGCTCACAACCAAAATAGTCTCAGAATTGGCATTTCCTTGTCTCCAGTAATCCTGTGGCTGTCTTTTGATGGATGGGAAGGAGGAATATTAGAGGGAGAAAGTGTCTCTGATAGCACCTCTCTGTTTGGCAGGACGGACTGTGGCTGTGGACTGGGCTGTGGCAAAGGACAAATACAAAGATACCCAGCCTGCTTCTGCCCCAGGTAAGGGGTGTTGGTGGTAGATAGGCAGGTTGGAAGGGTGGAAACAACTCTTATAGTTCTTTATTTTGAGATGTAGACCAGTCTAGCCTTGATCTCAGAGATCTGCCTGCCTCTGCCTCCCAAGTACTGGGATTAAAGATGTGTGCCACCATGTCCAATAATTCTTGTGTTTTGATGAAAGTATATCAGAACTTTCCTGTCGGACTAGGTATATTGAGCTGGAGATACACAAAGCATAAGGTTAGCCGTCATCCCTCACCCCCTAAGAGGCAAAGCATCCGGGAAGATCTTCAGATTCCTAGGCTCAGGGCTTCTTGACAGTTCACATATGATTGCTTGGTATCTGATCACTGAACGTAGGATCTTTTGCGTCTAAACTCACATCTGTGGTCTGGGTATGAGTTAGGAGAGGGCCCTTAGTTTGTTCATTCTTCCCTCTACTTCGCTGTTCTGGTCACCCTGTACTAGTGAGTCATGAAGAGAGAACAGGGCTGTGGAGCTCATCAGTTAAAGCACTGGTTTGTCCTCGAGGGAATCTGAGTTTGCTCCTCAGTATCTACATGGCAGCTCACACAGCCTCTCCTGCCCTCGATGGCACTGTGTGCTCATGGTGCATAGACGCACATGCAGGCAGGACACCTTTATTTGCGTAAAATAATAATCTTCTAACTAACTTTTTTAATGAGGGAAAGACAAATGCTTTTCAGTCACCAGAGGCTCAGAGAATATTATACATCAAAACAAAAATTGATGGAGGGCCAGGGTGAGCCGTTTGTGTGCCGTGGTGTGTAAGTGGGGCCTTTGTGAAGAGTTTTGTTGCTGTTTCTCTCATTCTGTAGCAGGGTAACCTTCTGGTGACAAGAAAAAGAGGAATCTAATTCAGGTGGTGACAATTTTCTGTTTTCTCTTGTTTTTGCTGATACTATTTGCCGTCATCTTTTGTGTCTGTGAAGAACTGAGCCACAGACTGCTCAGATACCTAAATCTTCAGATGCTCAAAACTGTAGAACGCAACATTTCTGCCTTAGTTAGGGTTTCCATTGCTGTGAAGAGACACATGACCAAGGCAACTCTTATAGAGGAAAACATTTAATTGGGGCTGGCTTACAGGTTCAGGATTTTAGTCCCTTATCATCCTGGTGGGAAGCGAGGCAGCATGCAGGCAGGCATGGTGCTGGAGAGGGAGCTGAGAGTTCTACATCTGGATCAACAGGCAGTAGGAAGAGAACTGGTTTGAGTTTCTGAGACCTCATAGCCCACCCCTACTTCCACAAAGCCACACCTACTCCAACAAAGCAACACCTTACAATAGTGCCACTCTTTATGAGCCTATGGGGACCATTTTTATTCAGACCATCAGCCTTCTGTGTATTTTAAATCCTCTCTAAATTATTTGTAAGCCTAGTATAACAGAAAGCTATGCAGTAGCTGTTACACTGACTTGTTCAGGGAATATTGACAAAAAATTTAGTTATTCATTATAGACGCAGTGTTCTTAAAAATCCTCTCTGGTCTGTGGCTGATTGAATTGGAGGATATAGAATTAAATGATAGAAATGAAAGCCTGACTGTGTAGTAAGAAAAAATTAGGGAATCCTGAAAAAAAGACCCAAAAAACTAGGAACTTGAGTTATTAATTATTCCTGTTAAAAAAACCTTGTTTTGGATAGTCAGTAAGTTCCTTTATCTTCCTCCATAGGTGGAAAGAAAAGCAGTGAGCAGAAGCATCAGGAATCAGGTAAAAAGAATGGCAAGGTGGAAGAAGAAGAAAAAGAAGAAGAGGAGGAGGAGGAGGAGGAGGAAGGTGGTGATGATGATGAAGATGATAATGATAATGATGAGGAGAGAAGTAGAAAATCAACAGTGACCAGGCATGTGAAAAGTCAGAAGGGGTAGGTGCACATTCTGAGACCCTAGGGGAAGACAGTGTTTCTCCTGAGAGGAAGATGCTCTTGTCTTCACTGCACCCTCTTCACTGCAGACTTGTCACATGTCATAAGCTCAGTAGCTTACGTGTCAGCCCAGATGAGAGCTGAACTGTGTTGTTGCAGAGCAGTCAAGAGAGCAGATCCTGAGGAAAGCTCCGAGGAAGAACATTCTGAGGACAGTGACCTGGAGGAGGGAGGCAGCAGCGATGATGAAGGAGCAGTGCAGAGTGACAGCAGTGCTGAAGAACAGGAGGAGGAAGGTGTGCTGGGGTCTTCCTGATGCCTTTGAGCTTTGAGTAAATTACTGAGAAAAGTTTGCCAGTTCTGCCCAAACCTCTTGGACATAGTTTTCTATCAAGTTTTTGTTAACTACTAAAAAAGGAACCTTTATTTGCATCTTTTCTAAGGCTTTTCTTCCTATCCCTGCCCCCCCCACCCCCCCACCCTTCCACCTTCCGCTCTCGTTTGAGACAGGCTGACTGGCTGCTCTGTACTAGTCGATAGACTTGAGCTTGTGGTGCTCCTGCCTCCACCTTCCACATGACGGGCATGCAGCACCGTTCCTCGCTCATGCCTTGCTGGGGTCAAGCACAGCCCTGGTGCGTGCATGGCAAGCACTCCACTAACTGCTCTGTCTGCTCTCCTCAGCCCCCTTTTTTCAGTCAGGTCTCCTATATCCTCGGCGGCCCTCAGATCCAGTATGTAGTTAAAAATGATGGTGAACCAATCCCTGTCTCCCCTGTAATCCAATCCTACATCTGGGACTGCAGGTGTGCACTGCTCTGTCTGATTTGTGGCTTCTGGGGCTTGAACCCAGGGCTTCAGACATGCTAGGAGAACTTCTGCCAGCCGAGCAGTCTTGTGTCTTTATTGTTTGTTTTTTCTTAAAGATGACTTTGGAATACTATTTGAGAGTATTTAATTCTGAGGGTGCTATCACTTCTAATTGTCTCAGTCAAATAACTGGATAAATACATGTTTACACACCAAATAGATTTTTAAACAAACAGTACAAAAAGACCAAAACCTTTTGAGTTGAGATGTAGAACTATAAGGTCAACTTTGGCTTCCATAACAAAATAGTACAGACTTGTGGCTCAAATAAGACAGATTTATTTTCTTATAGTTCTGGAGGTAGGGCGTCTCCAGACTAAGATGCTGTTTCTGCCTTCCAAACTTTAACCTGCTCACTGTCTTCACGTAGCTTTTCCTCTTGGGTTGGTCAAGGAGAACAAAACAAAATAAAAAAAATTCCCAAACTCTGGTCTCTTTTCTGTCGTCTTATAAGGAAAATAGTAAGGCTGTAGTCGTATCTCTCCGCTCAGCCTCAGCTACATCTCTGACATCTCTGTCTCTAAGCACAGTGACACTAGGAGTTAAGGGCTTACTGTGACAGTTTAGAGAGACCCACGTGAGTTAGTTCAGTTCCTGACAAGGACTTATGGAACATTTGTGGAACTGTTAGCAATCCATGCTCTCCCTTTATTGAAGCAGGTAAGGCAGGCCGGTGTATCATGAGGAATGGCCAGTAGCTGGTCGTTAGGTTTGCCAGAGTGGGTGTTTTTATTCAGCTGTTTTGCTTTCATTTCTGCAAGTCTGGTGGTTTGGTTTGGCTGCATAAGAGACAGGGAATAAACATTTTGCTCATGAGGATGGATTCAAGTCTTTTACACTGAGGGCACAGTGAGATCTACTTTGGATTCATATGCTTCCTGTCATTTCTTTTTTGAAAACCCTGTGGGGCTCAAATAAGTTAAAAGATATAATGCAAAGGAGCTTAATGAAGAAATGAAAAGTTCTTTGCCAGCCTAACAGTTCTCTAAAGCATTCTTTTTCCCCAGAAATGTGTGTGTGTCCACATAGCACGTAAGTGTTCTCTTAAGTGTTGTTTTGAAAGGGTCTCACAGTGAAGTGCATGCTGTCCTCGAACTTGAGACCTTCATACCTTGGCCTCTCAAGTGCTGGGGTTCCAAGCATGAGACACCACAGTGAGTTTCCTTTTCACCCAGATCATTAACCTCTTAAGCCACATTTCCAGAGACAATCAGTGTCATGTTTCTTGTGTACCTAGAGAACATTTTGAACGTACTTATAAGCAGAAATACATGTGCACATACATGTAATTAATATAGTATAGCGAGTGTGTGTGTTTGTGTGCTAATTTATGTGGCTACAGCAATATATGGGAATTTTTCCTCTCTCACCTTTACCACATTGGAGTCTGTTGGTCTTTGTTTTGCCAGTTTAGGTAAAAAGTGGTATCTTTTTCCTTGAGCTGTGTCCCTTCTCCCCTCTTTCTCGTTCTCTTGCTGGGGTTGAACTTAACGTCCTTGTTTTTGTTAAATGTGCATTCTACCACTGAGCTACATCCTCAGTCTTGCTTTGCTTTTCTTTAATTTTGAGTTTGAGCATCTTTTAATGTATTTAGTTACATTCTTAATCCATTTAAAGTGTAAAAAATTAATTTAGGTAAAATATTTTAAGTTAGCCATGTGACTTTGAGGTGTGTTTTGTTTTTATTTTGTTTTGTTGCTGTTGTTTACATTAGATGTTCCAGTGTCAAAGAAAAAGAAGAGGAAGTTACCCTCAGATGTGAACGAAGGGAAAACTGTTTTCATCAGGTATGCCTTCCTTATGCAGAGTCACATGAAGGCACAGGTCCCCTGGCTTACTCTGTTTGCCCCCTACTGTCCTGGCTCTTCTTTTCTCTCCCCCCCACGCCCTGTTTCTCCCTCCCTCTTTTCCACCCTCCTTTCTTTAGCACATAGTTAGATACTATGGGACTGGTTAGCACATGTGATCCGAGGAACATCCCAGTGAGAATGTCAGATAAGAGCTTAAGCTTACGTAAGTGGTAGGAGGGTCCAGGTCCTTTCTAGAGTTGATGCTTTGTAACTGGAGTAGCATCCTCCGGAGTCTTTCAGTTGCTTCTGACCTCTGCTTTAGGAGAGGTCCTGAGGCCATGCTGTTTGCCCTAGAGAATGTCTCTCTCTGTGCCTAACTTCTCTTTCTTTGCTTCTTATTGTTTTTATATTTTGAGACAGGGTCTCATGTATCTCAGGCTGGCTTCAAAGTTGCTATGTAGCTAAAGATGACCTTGAACTTGGAAGTCTCCTGCGTTCACCTCCTTGAGTATTGGAACTACAGCTGTGTATCACCATGCTAGTTTCTATGGTGCTAGAAATCAAACTCAGGGCTGTGCAAATGCTAGGTGTACAGAATAGTTTTTTTTGTCACATTGATAGAAGCTGGATTCATCTGAGAAATTGCTTCCATCAAACTGTCCCACGGGCAAGTCTGGGGCATTTTCTTGATTAGTGATTAATGTGAGGGGACCTAGCCTCTAGGGAGGTAGTCCTGGGTTGTCGCAAGGAAGCAAGCTGACAGGTCTGGAGAGATGGCTCAGTGTTTAAGAGACTGCTCTTTCATAGGGCCCAGGTTTGATTTCCAGCACCCACAGGAAAGGACACAACTGAAAGGATCGGTATCTGCTCAGGACACCCCAAAACCAAGTTCTCAGCACAAAAGAGATGTATTTGCTTCAGAGAGACAAAGGCAGGAGATAGAGGATGAGGGAGAGGGGGAGGGGAACAAGGTTTATTGGAGAACCACTGTAATGTGCTTTAACATGAGTGAGAACCTAAGATAGATGACTTGGGGAGAGGACAGTTGAGCTTTGGAGGTGAGAGTTGGTAACCTCTAGAGCTGAGGAAAGAGGCAGTGTGAGATTGACTATCAGAGAGGACTGTAAAGGAGGAGCTTATCTATATACTGAAACAGGCAGGAGGGAAGGGGGAGAAGGCAAGCCAGGTCCGTAGGAGTATCTGGCCAGAAAGTTGGGTGCTGTCTCTGAGTCCCTGGGGAAGGACAGTCTAGGTCAGTTGTTAGGATTGTGGAGTGTCAGAATCCATTTGTGTGAAGCAAGAAGGTCTTGGAAGTGGACATCCAGGAGTATTGAGAATAAAACATCTTTAAGATTAGGACTGAAAAGTGAGTGATATTGTCAGGGATAATAAAAAGGCTAGCCAAAGGGTTAGAGACTTACAGCGGCAGAAGGACAGCAGTTAATGGAGTGAAGGTCCTGGATAGGTGGAAGGTTCTATTCTTTTTTTTTTTTTTTTTGGACTGCTAATATGGGAGTATTGTAGCGTTAGGCAGTGTGGCTTCAAAACGATGGCAGAAGCTGGTTAAGGATAAGAGAGTATTGGGGTTTGGAAATGTAGACAGAAAGGTCTTTGAGTATGATAGAGAGGAGTTTATGGTGTGCAGCAAGGAAAGGAGAGCTTCCTTGCTGTATCCCATACAGTGGGGTTGGCTAAAGAGGGAAGCAGAGAGGATTTTGGAGAGTGAGAGGGCCTGAAGAGACTGGTGGGTCAAGGTCAAGAGACCGGATGTCCCCATGTCTCTCAAGAAACCAAGAACAGAAATCTCTGGGACAGAGAGGTCGGTACCCAGGCTCTGTCACCAAGAAGGAGACCCCAGTGGGCCAGAGGAAGAATCCAGGACCTGTCCACAGGGTTTTCCGAGGCGGGAGCTCCAGAGTCTGCCAGTGCAGCCAGCAAAAGTGAGAGGAAAGCTTGCTGACCACATGGGACTGAAGGACACGGGCTCGTCAGAAGTGTGGGAACGTAAGGGGTTTAGGGAGAAACTCACTAGTTAGCCACTGTTGAATGGACAAGGCTGGTGCCTAGAGGTCCAAGTGTGTGAGAACTGGCTAACGGGGGTAGATGGGGTGGAATGGTCTGTGGGGTGGTGGAGTGGGGGAGTGTGTGTTGTAAGCCGGCATCCGAGTCATGGCTTTATATCTTCATCAGTCGATAACTCCAGTTCCAGGGGATCCAATTCCCTCTGTGGACCTCTATGGGCATTTGAATGCACGTGGTGCACAGACGTACATTCTGGCAAAACATCCATACAAATAAAGTAAAAATAAATACATCTGAAAGAAAGCCAGCAAACTGAACAAGCCATGGGCAGCAAGCCCATAGACCAAACTCCATGGTGTCTGCTTCCAGTTCTTGCCGTGAGCTTCTGCCATGGCTGCTCTTACTGATGGGCTGTGAGCTGTAAGAAATCAGTCCTTCTCTCCCTAAGAGCTGTCAGTCACGGTCTTGTCACAGCAACAGAAAGCAAGCTGGGGCCCAGGGAAGCCCTGTCCCAGCGGAGCTCGTTCTTAGCCCTCGCTTCTCATGTACGGCAGTGTCCAGAGCACAGAAGGCATGCCTGTTTCCAGGGGCGCATTCGGAGTGGAGACAGATTCTGCTCCCTGGCGTTGCTGTTCCAGCCCTCCTGGCTGGTAGATGGATATTTTCATAGGTCTGCTTAGTCTCCCTACATTGCAAGCGGCTGCGGGGTGATGTGGCTCAGTGGGAAAGGGGCTTGCTGCCAGTCTGACAACCTGAGCTTGATGTTCAGCGCTAGCATAGCAAATAGAGAACCAGATTGCCCTCCAGTAGTCACGTGTTGCCTGGCACGTGAACGTGCATACACACACACAAACACACACACACAAATTTAAAGATATATGGAAACTTTTAGAGGCTCAGATTAAGGTTCTTCCCCTTCCGCTTCCCCCTTTTCTGTCCCTTTCTCCCTTCCTCTGTTTGTCTGCTCATCTTTACCATGTTTCTCTTTTGTATTATTTTGAAGAATTTTTTCCTTTAGAAAATTTTAGCTGAAATACAGATTTCAAATTAACATGGAGGGGAATATGTCTAACTCAATAAAAGAAAGACATGTTTCTTACTAGCCTGCTGTGAAAATTTCTGGTTGTAGTAAGAAGAATTAATTTCAGCCACAATAAGTGAAAAGAAGACAGGTTGGAGGAATACTGGTTTGCTCACAGAATCAGAGTTGTCAAGGTGCAAACCTCAGGTGAAAACCTTGGCAGTTTTGAGACCTCTGTTGCTGGAGATTGTGGGTCTTTTCTCTGGGATACCATATTAAAAAAATAAAGTCTGTTACTTTAAGGATGGAGCTAAGTAACATTTTCATGCATATATTCACATGACTACCTGGTCACTTTTATATAGCACATCTGTATGATTCCAGTGATACTTCTGTTTTGAAGTGACTCTGTATCTGCAGCTCTTAGTCTTTTTTGTCCGTTAAGTTTTAAATCCCCAGGTGGGAAAATCTGCTGATATAGGAAGGTTAGTAAATTGGGACAGAGGAACAGAAGGCTATAGCATAGGTTTAGCCACTAGGGGCTGCTCTTGCGTGCTGGTGCTAGTTTTGAACAAGGGAGAATGTTGTAAACAAGGGAGCCATCAGAGTTGATGTCTAATTCATGTACCTCATATTGAAACTGGAGATCTTACATTGTCATTGGAATTTTTGTGACCTGTGTTTGTTATTTTTGTTTTTTCCACAGAAACCTTTCGTTTGACTCAGAAGAAGAGGAGCTTGGGGAAATCCTCCAGCAATTTGGCGATCTTAAGTATGTGCGAATAGTCTTGCACCCAGACACCGAGCATTCTAAAGGTACTTGCCCCCAGCTGACCAGGTAGCATTAGGAAAGAACATAAATGAATCGATTCTGGGTGGTACACACTCTGTCCATTTTCTTTCCTGGCTTCCATAAAAGCCCAAGGACATTCTGAGATTGTCTTCCATGATGTGAGAGTCAGCAACTTAATGATTTTGCCAGCCTTAATTTTATCTCAGCCTTTAAAGCACTTGCTTATTTACTTTAAGATAATGAATTCCATTTATTGTTCTCCTTTGCATTTCAAATGTGATAGCATCTCATTGGTATTAATCATTCTACATTGCTTGAAATTAATGGGGAACTTTTTTTCTTTGATGCTTTTGTTAGAGATAGAAACTGACAGAGAAACTTTGTTGCATGGCAACAGTCAAAAGAAAACCTATGTAGCAGGAGTGGTGCATGAGATGTTTTCCCTCATGCTCTTAAGGGTTAAGCATTCTTTCTAGCGCACTGCTGGATTATTAGAATGTTATTAGATTACATAATCTCTTACTTCATGGACTGCAGTCATTTTGCTCAAGCTCTATGTTCCTTCATTTTTCTGTTATTGTAACCAAATATCTGACATAAAGGAAGCAGGATTTATTTTGCTTTGGTTTCAGAGCATCCAGTGTATTACGGTGGGGACAGAACAGCTCAGATCTTTTCATGGTGGGCCAGGAAGCAAAGAAAGGGTAAAGCTAAAGATCTGCTTACTCTCTCCTGTTTCTTCTTTGATTTTTGCCCCCAGAACACGAAATAGCACCCACTTTCAGGGATGATCCTTTTGGAAAGGCCTTCACAAATATACTCAAAGGGTATGGCTTCAGGCTCCTGGCTGGTTATGTATCCAGTCAGGTTGACAATGACAGATAAACCATAATCCCCAAGTACACCATTTGCTCTGATTATTTATTCTGTAGACAGTGTTCTGTCTGCATGTGTGCCTGCTTGCCAGAAGAGGGCAGCGGATCTCACTATAGATGGTTGGGAGCCACCATGTGGTTGCTGGGAATTGAACTCAGGACCTCTGGAAGAGCAAATAGTGCTCTTAACTACTGAGCCACCTTTCCAGACCATCAGTCTCTTTTTGAATATAACAAGGTATTAGGTTAATATTTTTACAATGTAGTCTGCAATTGATTTGCTAGATGTCTCTTTTGTTCTATTAATATTAATAATTAATGATTTTAAAAACACAATTTTGCTGGGTGATGGCCCATAGCATTAATCCCAGCACTTGGGAGGCACAGGCATTCAGATCTCTGAGTTCAAGGCCAGCCTGGTTCACAAAGTGAGTCCAGGACAGCCAGGGCTGCACAGAGAAACCCTGTCTCCAAACAACAAACAAACAAACAAACAAACAAACAAACAAAATGTGTCAACATACACCCCTAGTAAACATAAGTTGTTGTTCCATTGTTTTAGAGAATGGCAAGTCCATAATAAACATAAGTTGTTGTTCCATTGTTTGTAGAAACAGTTTGGACAGTTTTCTGCAAGTGTTTCTGTTGTGTTCATGGCTGGCTCTGCTGACGCACGGCCCATGGATTCCCAGGCTGGACCACCTGGTTTCCTCTGGCTGACTGTTGGCAGCACTCAGTGCCATAGGTGGTCCAGCTCCTGGAGTACTTGTTTGGGGAGATGCTACCTAATCAGTGAGGAAAGAGACAGGAGAGGGTGGGAGGGACTGGGGACACACAAGCAGGAGTGCTTGGCCCTGTCTGGGAGTTAGGGAAAGTCGCTCAGGACAGTGACTTTTGGGCTAGCCTACTGTGTATATGCTTTAGATTAATCTGCATCCAATCCAGTGTGGGGCAGAACACAGTGTCCTAGCTCTGGGACACATGGGAGAATTCTTTTTTGAGTTTTGAGGTATACCAACAATATATTATGAAACATGTTTTGAAATTTACTGTGAGGTGAATTTGTGTAAAAAGTGGTTTTAATCCATGCTAGAAATTCATTTAAATCAGTTGGCCCTGTGTCTAACCAATGAAAGGCATGCTTTATAAAGATTCTAGAGCATAAGTCAACAACCGAGCTGCTCATGGCTGTTTTCTACAATATTCATACAGTAGAGGCCTCTTCTAATTCAAGAGGTATATATGCTGTCATTTGGTGTCTCTCAGGTGTCTCTGAGACCACGAGCTGTAATTAACTTCAGGGTTAGACAGTTCTGCCTCGTCTTCACTCTTCTCTTAGGGACTTCTTGCTGCTGAGTTAAGTGGTTAGCTGGATTTCTGTATCCCGTCATGTGGGTGTCATTAAAGAGGCAGTTGATAGGAACAGATGCTATGGAAAGATGTGTATGCTGTGGAATCTGGCTATGGTCCGTCACCGATTAACGTAGTACCTGTCCGATGGACGCCACTTATGCTTTCCATTTGCTTCAGACTGTGGATGTTTACTGGATTGTCTTTGATTACTGTGGGAGTGAGGGGGCATCTCGTGAAATTCTGCGTCTTTTTGCAGGCTGTGCATTTGCACAGTTCATGACTCAGGAAGCAGCTCAGAAATGCCTTGCAGCTGCCTCTCCAGAAGCTGAGGTAAGGAAAGCACGTCCTCCCCCTGTGCCTAGAGCATGATGGCTCCCAGCGGGGAGAGCTTATGCTTGCACCAAGCTTTGTTGTTGTTATTATTAAGACAAAGGTCTGTTAGGTAGTGAACGTTGCAGGTACTGCCTTAATCATTCACCCTTTGAGATGAGTGCAGTTACCAATATTTTTATTTTTGGTTGTTCGAGACAGAGTCTCTCTGTGTAGCCCTGGCTGCCGTAGAACTCACTCTGTAGACCAGACTGGTCTTGAATTCATGGATTTCCACCTGTCTCTGCCTCCTGGTTGCTGGGACTAAGGGTGTGCACCACCGCTGCCTGGCTTGTGACCTGACATTTCTAGGAGTCGTTGACTGTTGTCATATCAGCCTCTGTTTAGGCTAATAACTGAAAGAAAGTGTTAATGCATCTGTGAAACTGGAGGCATGCTTGATAGACATAGTGTAGACACTGAGAATTTTTCTGTGTTTTTTAACGAAGTCTGCAGTTTTTGAGATGTTAACCTGTGTTGTCATTGTCTCCTAAATATTCTTACCATTTCTCTAGCTTTGGAATACTACCCAGTGGTTTATAAGACATTTTCCTCAGTTTAGGCCTACTTTGGGACTGAACTACTAAAGTAAATTCCTTACTACTGGTTGTCTTAAGTACATACACATAGGACCTTTTGCACAGTTGTAGAAACTACTGTGAGTCTCCAGGGTCCCCGTGTAGCCAGCCAGGCAGACGCACCGGGGCCTGGCTTCCTTCAGTGTGCTGATTCCCTTCTCTCCACATTCCTTGTTGTGTATGTCACATTCTGCTTGCCGTGATTTGAAGAGAAGGTTACGATGTGTTTCAGGGTGGTGGGCTTAAACTGGACGGCCGGCAGCTCAAGGTTGACTTGGCTGTGACCCGTGATGAGGCAGCAAAGCTTCAGACAAAGAAGGTGAAGAAGCCAACAGGAACACGGAACCTCTATCTGGCCCGCGAAGGCTGTGAGTGGTGAAGGGTTAGGAGCCAGGCATCTGAGTAGTGGTCTGTCACATGACAGAGCCGCAATCGTGCTCTGAGATGTGTTTCAGATAAATGACCCAAACTTCCCCCTTCTCAATGTTTTATTATGATTCTGCTTTCGTAGACGTGGCTTTAGGAATCCCCACCCATTCTGCAGATTAACCTGTCCCTTTCTCCTTTCTGCCTGGTTGCCTTAGATATTTCGGAAGCAGAAAGGAGGGAAACTCAAATTACTTGCTGCTTGTCTTCATTTTTAATGAGTTTTTTGTTTTGTTTTTTCAAGATACTGAAAAACACTTCTTTGGATTATTGGTAGATCTTTAAATGTTTACCTAGTATCTTTCCCTTTATGTTAGAAAAGAATGAGAAATTAGCTTTAAGTTAAAAAAAAAAAATCCAGAGTTTCTCCTGTGTGATTGCATAGCTCCAGCTTAGTACCGTCAGGCCGTGAACCTGTGCTCTGAGGCCATGGGAGCGCAACTCTGTCCTCTGCTGGCTCATCTAATCGTGGCTGGCGCCCAGCTGCACAAGGAGCAGCTAAATCCCAGGGGCAGGTTGTTGGTGGAATGTCCTGTGTCCCAGATACCTGGATTGTAGCTGCCCTTGGAGCTTCTCCCACGCCTTTCTGTCTGACCTGCAGCATAAATATGATGCTGTTTTGCAGGCAGAGAGGAACAAAATTACAAAATGTTCACTGTGTCTTTAGAGCACGTCTGAAGTCTAGAACTTGGCCCTGTAGCTATTTTTGGATCCAACTAACTGGCCAACACAGTCCTTAGGGCCCTGTATAAAGAGTTTGCATCATTCAGCTCACATTCCTCCTGTTGCTCAGTGAGCATTCCCTTGGTGACACCCTGGCCTTTTTCCCTCTTTCTCCAGTGATCCGTGCTGGGACGAAGGCTGCCGAGGGTGTGAGCGCTGCAGACATGGCCAAACGCGAGCGGGTGAGTGGCTGGGAACTTGGCCTTGAGCTTCTCGCCCGGCTTACCTAAGTGAGACCATTACGCTCCATTTGCTCTTGAAGAGCCATGTGTAAAGTCCCCTTGTAAGAACTCAGTCTTGCAGGCTGGAGATATGGCTCAGAGTTCCAGAGGTCATGAGTTCAATTCCCAGCAACCACATGGTGGCTCACAACCATCTATCATGAGAAGATGGCCTGCAGGCAGAACACCGTATACATAATAAATAATCTTTAAAAAGAGTTTTTTTGTGGGGGGGGGGGGCGTTTAATGTAAAAAAACGAACTCAGTCTTATTCTTTGTTTCTGTAGTACTCGTGTGTGTTTGGTAAGACATGCTACTAGATCATGCTGTAGGTGTGGAGAAGGGGTTGTATGTAATTGTTAGCATAAATGTAGAGCAGCAGAACAGACGCTGTGTAGGCGGGCTTACTAGGAAACGAAGGAAGCGTGGGTTTGGAAAGAGTAGCTGAGATGCCATTGGGTAGGAGGTAGTAGCTCTGAATTATACAATTAGTGTACAACAACTTCATATTATAGGCATGTCTACTGTAGCTGACGCCTTGGTGATGTTCTCATCCTTGCTACTTTGCCATATAACTTACTTTTGTTGTTGTTTTGCGATAGTCTCATGTAGCTCAGGCTGACCCACTGTGTAGTTCTGACCCTCTCCCTCCAGTGTACTGGGATTGCAGGCATCATGCCCAGGTTGCACAGTGCTGAGGCCTGACCTCCGGATGGTGTGTGTGCTAGGCAGGCACTCTTCCAGCCGTGCCGTGCCCCAGCTCTCGAAGCTTACCAATGAAAAGGCAGCAAGAGGCAGCGGGGGCCCAGTGGGTACTGCTTGCTGAGCCAGCCTGGTGACCTGAGTTTTCACCCTACCACACGCACAAGTGTGTACAAAGTCACACACACACATACCTAATAATGAATTAAAAACAAAGGATAAACGCCAGCCTAGAATGGTAAGGCTGTAGAACACCTATGGAACCCTAACATTCAGGAGATGGGGAGCAGAAAATATACTATAATAATAGGCAAAAGCAGTATGTCTTTCCAGCATGGATATTGTAACAGTTTTCTTGATGTTTTTTTAGTAGTGAACATCTGGATATTACAGTACTTGGGGAAGCAGTACAGTAAGATGTACTAAATTTTAGAACTGGTATTGCTAGCCAAGCTTACTGAATTATTTATGTGCATTGGAAAAAGTTTACTTTCTTTAGGAAGGAAGTACTAGACACTTCCAGTTGGGTGGGTGGGGACTGAGCACAAATGCTAACTTCAGTATTGCCAATAAAAAGATTTAGCTGGGTGTGGTGGCACACACCTGTAATCCTAGCACTCAGGAAGGAAGAAGCAGGTGGATCTCTGTGAGTTTAAAGCCAGCCTGATCTGCAAAGCAAGTCCAGGACAGCCAGGGCTACACAGAGAAACCCTGTATCAAAAAAGTGTTAAACAGGGTAACTGGAGCCCATGCCTTTAATCCCAGCACTGGGTTAATCCCAGCACTGGGAGGCAGAGTCAGGGAGTTCTCTGAGTTAGAGGTCAGCCCTGGTCTTACAGAGTAAGTTCTAGTCCCAGCCATGGCTATATAGAGAAACCTGCCTCGAAAGAAAACAAAACAGAATAAAATTTTGTGCTAGGCCACATTTTGACCAATGTGGGTGTTGTTGTTATTTGTTTTTGTTTGTTTGTTTTGTTTTGTTTTAATTTCATTTGGCCTTATGTCAGTCCTGAGAGTTAAATATTGATCTGCAGTTTCGTTTTTATGGATGAAAATTTGAATCTGAAAATGTCACTTGACTTTTCCAGTTGATGACCTTTTGGTTTATCAACCAAACTGACTCAAGTTCATGGTCATCTTGTCCCCTTGAACCTTCCTTCCTTTCTCTCTGCTGGGTATTGTAAGGCATCTGTGGCCATGGATGGAGTTATGATTCTTTTCTTTTAGAGAACTAGGAGCCTTCCTTACTACTGTATGTTAAGAGTTTGTCTTTTTCTCCCTTCTCAGTTTGAGCTGCTGAAACACCAGAAACTCAAGAATCAGAATATCTTTGTCTCCCAGACCAGGCTTTGCCTGCACAACCTCCCAAAGGCCGTGGATGATAAACAGCTAAGAAAGCTGCTGCTGGCTGCCACGAGAGGAGAGACGGGGGTTTGCATTAAGGAGGTGAGAGGTGCCGCGCCGTTCGTAGCTTGCAGTCATGAGCGTTCGTCAAGCCTGTGGTGCCAGCTTGTCAGCAGATTTTCTTTTGGACACATCATGTAAATTTGAGTTTGGCAGCTTTCTTGTTTTTATTGTTCTCTTTTGGGAACTGTCTTTCATGTCTCACTAAATTAGAGCTAAATGTGAGGGAATGTCTGTCATGAATTAATTTAGCAAGCATTTTTTTCAATACCTGCTGCGTGCTTAGTGTTATATAAGTGTTGCCATGTGAATTCCGTTGCAGAGAGCACAATTTATGTGGTTTGTTTCCTGAAAGAATGGTGTGTGTGCGTGGGCACATGCATGCACACACACAAACTGACATTTGAGAGTGAGAAAGGGAGAGGAAGAAAGGCGGGGAGAGAAGGAGAGGGGAGGGAAAGGAGAGCACAGCGTGCCCACCAGGGCACATGTGTAAATGTCGGGGGACAACTTGAGGGGTGCCTCACTCTCCAGGGTGTTTGAGCGGTCTCTCTTGTTGGTGTGCCCGAGCTTACTGTTCTAGAGCTTCTGTTTCCACAGAATTGTTTCTTCCCGTCCCAGCACAGAAGCACTGAGATTGCAGGCGTACGCCATCATGTCTGGCTCTTACGTGGGTTCTGGGCACCTGAACCCAGGTTCTCATGCGAATGTGGCAAGCATTTTACCCGTGTGTCATTTCCATATCCCTAAAAATAGCGTTGAACTGTGTGAAGTTCTTGCTAATACCCCGTGGTAAGCACAGGGAACCTCGTGCCGTCAGTTGGATTAGAAGCTCTGGGTTCACACTCGCACTTGCTTTTCAGCTCTGTCTCCTGAACTCCTTACTGTTGTACTGACCTGACACTGTTGGTTGTTTCTCCAGACAGACTGAGCCCTTTGAGGGTAAATATTATCTTATTGTCCCCAATCCCGGGGGTAGTGCTTCGCAGAATCCATGGATCTCCATTTTTAAAACATCAGTGCCAGCATTTTAGGTGCACTTTGCTGTCGTAGCCATAAACTGTAGGCTAATCCCCTAGAAGCCTCTTTAACATGTTTTCTTGAAATTGAGGAAACAACACGAGAGCACATCATCAAGTCAGAACATGTCTGACAATACTGTTAGCACTGAGTACCCACAAATATTGGTGTGCACTCATTTTGAACCCATTACAGTTTAGTGCACTTCTGTACATCGTACAATGTGTATATTGGTTATGTAACTTTCCTCCAAGATAAAACCTCCATCTTGAAGGAAGTTCACTTGGTAAAACTAGGAAGTAAACAATTCCTCAGAGGCTCAGGAAGTCCCTGAAACTGAGCAGATGCACTAGCCTCTCATTCCTCAGGCACGTACAAACAGTAAGGACTGCTGAGAGGGCCTCAGACAGGCTGGGTTCCTAGAAGAGGCTAGGCTGGAAGAGCAGCCCGCTGTGTGGTAGGGCAGAGACCTGGTGAGTGCTTCAGGTGGTGCAGTGGACCTCAGGTGTCAGCTTGCGAGCTCTCACCCATGCTAGGCTGGGCTCTTGGTGATCAGGTGCCATTGTGTCGTTTCTGCTTCTGTAAGTGAGCCTAGGAAGCCGCGTTGTCCGCAGCTGGACTTCGTGGCACCCTACCTTGGTCTGTCTTCACCTTGAGTCAGTAGATGTTTGCTCACGCCTCCCCAGAAGTCATGACAAGAGCACTGCATTATTTCCCTTAATCCCTGTGTTTGTGTCGATGCTGTGTCTCCGCAAGAGGCTTGGATGGCGTCTTGAGTGAAAGAGCCCTGAAGTAAAGAATGGTTCTTCTTTTCAGCCTCTGCAGGGGACAGTAGTGCTGTCTGCAGGGCTGCAGTGTACAAGAGTCCTTCTCACTTAGATCACTCGCTGCAGAAGAGCAGCGGCTCTGGGAGAGTGCTGGATAAGTAGTGCATCTCCTCAGGCCATCTTCTGTGCTCCTCAGGGCTCTAGGAAACTTACTGTAGCTTATCTAGACATTTAGAGAAAACTGTATACCAAACGGCTTCTGACTCTAACCGGGAGAGTGAGCCTTGCTGTGTTCTGAGACTTATCATGGAGGGCAGAGATGCTCTTTCTCTGTCAGATGCATCTTCCTCACCTGCAGCCATCAGGCCGTTCTCATCTCCATTACTTTTCTTCCTGGGGGCTTTCTTCAGTGGTGGAATCTTTGGGCAGTTCCCCATTCTCAACAATAACTTGCTAGCAAGCTAAGGAATCATGCATCTCTTCGTTCGGAGTGTTATGAACAGTTAAGTATCATACATTCTCCTCGGGGCACCGAAGAGAGGTGGCTTCCTGGTCAGGAGCACACATTGCCTTTGGAGAGGACCTGATTTTGGTTTCTATCACTCATGTCTGGCGGCTCACAACTGCTTCCAAGTCCAGCTCCAGGGACATGCATACACATAGCCACGCACATATATGCAAGATTTAAAAAAAAAAAAAAAATCTTAAATAAAATACATTTTCCCCTGGAAGTTTTTATTTCTTATTCATAACTGCTGTTTGTTTGTCTTTTTGTTTTCTCTCATAGTGTAGAGTGATGCGGGACCTTAAAGCCGTCAATGGAAAGATGAAGGGCCAGTCCTTGGGCTATGCCTTCGCAGAGTTTCAGAAGCATGAGCACGCCCTCAGAGCCCTCCGCCACATCAACAACAACCCGGAAATCTTTGGGCCTCAGAAGGTGAGTCTCGTCCTCCAGGGAAAGCCATTTTCTGAGAGTTGAACTGCCCATTGTCCCTGACATTTGAATGGTGGGAGAGAGTGCCAGGTGAGCGGGTGAGGGTGGGCAGATAGACACCTGTAAGAACTCAGGCTGGGCAGACTGCAGAGCTGGCCTGTAGAGAAGACAAGGGGTGCAGCCTCAGGGTTCACACAGTGGGGGGGCGGTGGGGCCAGCTGGGTCTGTTGCACCCACATACTACCAAGATTATGAATGACGCCTTGTCTTCCTCCGGCAGAGACCGATCGTGGAGTTCTCTTTAGAAGACCGAAGGAAGCTTAGAGTGAAGGAGCTGAGGATGCAGCGCAGCCTGGTACTGAGCCTGAGTGTCTGACTGTGTGTGTGTACCTGGGTGCCTGGGCCATGGCCCCTGCAGTCAGAAGGCAACTGGGGAGGTTGATTCTCTCTCTACCGTGTGTGTCCTGGGGTTGAACTCATGCCATCGGGTGAGCCATCTTTCTGGCCCTTGCTTGTTTCGTCCTGGTCGTTTGTGACAGGATCTCACTCTGTAGCTCTGCTAACCCAGAACTGCAGAGATCCCTCTGCCTTGACTGCGGGGCTTAAAGGTGTATGTCGTGCTGCCCAGCTTTGTAGTTGGTTGCCTGGTTTGTTTTAAGGGACTTAATTAAACTTCCATTTTTTTCAGTTTGTGCTTCTGCCAAGTAGAATTTTACTCAGTGTCTTAAGACTCTGCTGGTGCTGTTTTCCTCTGTGGTCCCTGTCCTGAGAGCTGCGTAGGAGGAGGGAAACCAGTGTTGTGGCCTAGGGTGGGTCCCTGCACGGTGTGGAGCCAAGGTTAAGCTACAGAGCCATTGTCGTCCTGTGATGCAGGGTCCCCCTTGTTGTCCAAGCTTGCCTTGAACCCAGACTCCCCCAGCTGCTTGGGTTAGACCCTTTTCAGTTTGTGGAGGGACAATCAGGAGCTGTGTGCTTGTTTGTTTGTTTGTTTTTTCTTCTTAATATTTATTACTTATACAATATTCTGTCTTCATGTACACCTGCATGTCAGAAGAGGGTACTAGTCTAGATGGTTGTGAGCCACCATGTGGTTGCTGGGAATTGAACTCAGGACCTTTGGGAGAACAGCAGCAAGTAGAAGCGCTCTTAACTTCTGAGCCATCTCTCCAGCCCCGCTTGCTGCTTTCTTAGCTGTATGTTTCCTGCCAGGTTACTTCTTCTCTGATCCTCGGTGTGTGAATATGAAATGGCTTAGTGATGTCTGCATTCCTCAGCGAAGCAGGACTCAAGGAGCGGATACACCTCTGCCCAGCTTGTAGTCAGCTGGCTTACCCATCTTCCCTTGAGACACACCAGTAATTTGAGGTCCATAATTCTTCCAGCACTCATCAGCACTGTATCAAAGTTAGCCTGTGTAGAGAGCGTTCATTCATAATGTTTGGTGTGTCTTGAAAACAAACAAACAAATAAAAGTGGCCCTTCTCTTGACTCATAAGGATACTTCTCACTGTCCTTATTCAGAGTAAATGAACCTTCCCACACTCAAATAAGCCCTCATTACTCAGGCTTTCATCAACTTACTTGATTATTTTTGTTTTATGTGTCTTTTTTTTGTGTGTATTTTTGTTTGTGTCTTATAGTAGCTATTGTTATGATAAAATACTGTGACCAAAAGCAGCTTCAGGAAGGATTAGTTTATTTGGGCTCATACTTCCAAAGGAATATGAGCCCATCATGACAGGGAGTCATGGCAGCAAGAAACGGGGATGGCCACACAGAGGAGCAAACTGAGAGATCATATCCTCAGCTGCAAGCCCAAAGCAAAGAGAGCCCGCTGGAAGCAGGGCAAGGCTGGGAACTCTAAATGCCTGCGCTTCCTGGTGTATCTCTTTCAGACCTCCCCAAACTGCACCACCAACTGGGGACCAAGCGCTCAAACACAGAAGCCTGTGGAGGACCTTTCATTCACACCACCTGTCTTCTCTCCACCAGACTAGGAGTCCTAAAAGCAAACATTTCGGTGTTTGCAACTGTATCTTTACCACTTATAAACAGACTGGTGCATAGTAGACATTTAATAAATACTGATTGGATCAGCTTATCTAGATTAAAATTGAAAGGGCAAAATAACATAGGTATTCTTACACTGATATTCTTGAATAACCCCCTCACCCACCCCAGCCCCGCACTTGAGTGCTAGTAAGCCTTCAACACCCTTATGCTTGCAGCTGAAGCTCTGGTGTCTCTTTGCCTTCCTTACTTCACTGACCTTGTGCTGATGCTTTTCCCTTCTTCATGTTGTAGATTTTTAATCTATGCCATTTGTGTTCTCTGGAGGAATTTCTTTTACATTTCTTGTAAAGCAGATTTCCTAGAAACAGTCTTTCTTATTTATTTATTTATTCTTTTCTTTTCTTTCTACATCTGAGAAAGTCTCTTTCACTTGTGTGAAAGATAATGTCATTGGGTAGAGCATTCTAGATTGGTAATTTTGTCTTTTGGAACGTCAACGACCTCATGTTCTCTTTTTCCTGGTTACGTGGTTTACCACAGAGTGGGAAATCTGGTTGTGGAGTTTGGGGTCTTTGTTTTGATGGTTTTCTCTCAACCCTTAGATCTGTGGCTGAATGCCTGAAGCTGGTCTTGAGAATTTCCTAGCGAATCCTATTAAGTAATTGCTTTGTTTTGTTTCTTTTGCTGTTGTTTCCCTCACCTTTGGGAGGCAGGTGTCTTTTGAAACAGGTCTCATGTTGCCCAGGCTGCCTAGGATTTTAGATGTGGTCGCCACGCCTGGCCTATGTTTCACCTTCGACAATTGTCCCTTCTTACTGGCTTTTGAGTCTTCGGCTGCTGCTCACTGCCTTTTTCTGTTGTGTGTGTGTCCCCTGCCTCGTAGCTATCTGTTAGCAGACAGTGCTTATAAACTACTCGTGTCTTCTTTTCTGTCTCTGGCTATGGGGGGGGCCAGTTCCTCTTTTACCGAGCTCGTGCCAGGCTCCTCCTCTACCAAGTATTTCCACTGAGTCGACTTCATGCAGAAACCAGGTGGCAATTTCTTGTTTTATGCAGCAAAAGATGGGCTCTAAGCCTGGAACCAGTAAGCCCCAAAAGAAGCAAGAAGAGCTTGGCAAGGAGCAACAGCGAGCAGCTCAGAGCGCTACGCAGGAGCAAAGTAAGGCTTCTGGGGAGCAGAAAGGGAAGGCCGGCCCCACATCGTGGGCAGGATTCCAGACCAAGGCTGAAGTGGAGCACGTGGAGCTGCCTGATGGGAAGAAGAGAAGAAAGGTCCTGGCACTCCCTTCACACCGAGGCCCCAAAATTAGGTGAGGTGCAGGAGAGCCGTGTGGAACAAGGTGCATCGTGCGTTTTTGTCTTGATATGTTTGCTTGGGCAGAGGGGGGTGGTGCCCCTTCCCCCGTGGGTGGTGATCAGTGAGGAAGGGCTCAGCACTAACAGAGAAAGGGTCCCGTGTGGCATTTACCTGGCTGTCTCATTTCAGGCTGCGGGACAAAGGCAAGGTGAAGTCCCTTCCTTCTAAGAAGCCGAAGGTCCAGACAGGCCAGCGGAAGCAAAGGCAGCAGCAACGGTTAGCTTCCTCCCTGCAGGTGAGTGCTATGGGGTGTGGTTTGGGGCTGAGCAGAGAACAAGCTTTCTGGACAGCCGAGTGGGAGGTAAGGTTCCCCATGGAGGCTGCAGCTCTTCAGAGGGGGAGATCAAAGTAGAGAGAAAGTAAACCCACATGTCTTGTCAAGCTTTTGAGCAGTTGGTGTGTGCTTCCTGTTTCCTGTGCCTGTTCTCCCCTCACTAGACTGTGTGAAAGCAAATCCTGCTTTACATGTAAATATGTTTCGAGAAGTAGATTGCCCAGAAAAACTTCAGACATGGGGGCTGGAGAGATGGCTCAGAGGTTAGGAGCACTGGCTGTTCTTCCAGAGGTCCTGAGTTCAATTGCCACCAACCACATGGTGGCTCACAACCATGTGTAATGAGATCTGCTGCCCTCTTCTGGTGCACAGGTGTACGTGCAGACAGAACATTGTATACATAATAAATAAATCTTTAAAAAAAAAAAAAAGAGAACCTTCAGACTACATCTGTAATGGTTGAATCTCTACACAAACACACACACAGTGTCATTACCATATCTGTTGAGATTAATCAAAAGCTCTTTATACCCTCTAATATTAAAACTTATTAAAACTTTCCCAATTGCCTTAAAAATGTTTTTTTTGTTTTTTTGTTTGTTTGTTTTTTTGTTTGTTTACTTTTGGCTAGTACCAGTTGGGGTGCTAACAAGGTTCACCCATTACATTTCCATTATTTGTCACTCCCTCTCTTCATCTGTGGTGTTTATTCTCTCACCACACTCTTCTCCCTTGTGCTGTTAATTTGGAGGAGCAGGTCATTCGTCCTAGAGGATGTGTTTCCTGTTGAATTCAGCCACGCACCTTACAGTATCACGTGCCTTGTCTCCGTGACACCATGTACTGCCTGTCATCCAGTACTTAGGTCCAGAGTACAATGGATTTGTGTTCTTCCTGGGTGGCGAGTGCCTCCCTGCCGGTGTTCAGTGCTGTATTTCAGGTGTTTACTGTTAGTAAAGCCAAGCTCCGTCAGGAGGTGTCAGAATTGTCCACATTATCATTTACAAAACCCCACCAGCTTTTGAGTTACTTTTTTGTTTTGTTTTTGAATTTTCAGTGCTAAGGATCAAACCTAAGGCCTTCCTTTCTCATGCTTAGAAAGTGCTCTGCTGGCTGGACGTGGGGGTGCACACCTCTAATCCAGCAGGGCAGAGGCAGGCGGATGTCTGTGAGTTTGAGGCCAGCCTGGTATGCACAGCAAAACCAGGACAGCCAGGGCTACACAGAGAAAAACAAACAAGAAAGAAGGAAGGAAGGAAGGAAGGAAGGAAGGAAGGAAGGAAGGAAGGAAGGAAGGAAGGAAGGAGAGAGGGAGGGAGGGAGGGAGGGAGGGAGGGAGGGAGGGAGGGAGGGAAGGAAGGAAGGAAGGAAGGAAGGAAGGAAGGAAGGAAGGAAGGA